TTATTAATTGGGCTGCAAATTGAAAAAATTTTACACACAAATTCCCACTGTCATTCGTCTGCCAGCCTGTCTTTCCTTAATCTCGAGAACAGTGTTAGATAGATGAAAGACGAGACCAGATATGGAAACCATAGGGGCAGGAGGTTCCAATTAACTGTATGAGCTTCCGATGCAAACCAGAAGTCACATTATTTCAATTCAAAACTTTTCTCCTAAAAGGAGTTAGATAGATAACCGGCACGACTCCATTGCTAATGGAAAAGTACAAGATACAGGGTAAAACACTACAGTATTAATTTGAGGTGGAGAGCATATTTTAAAAATAAACAAACTAAAAATATGATTAAAAATTGCAGTCTGGCATTGTGACATCATAAATAATTGTTCATCATACATAAAATTTAGTAATTGTCATGAAATGCACCAACAATTGCCACGTGTATGAAACCAATTTAATATTACAAGCATGTATAATAACTTTTAAAATAAAAAAGAAAAACAGTTTTGGCTGTAAATACAAATTAATAAAAAAAAATCTCAAAGTAATGCATAAATACAGTACATGATCCTTTTGTATTTTCTTTAATGTGATACATTGACTGGAAATGGTCCTTCTTTACATGTGAATTAAAATATCCTGTAGGATGATTATTTTTTTAATAATTCCATTATCTAAGGCAAAAATGGGCAACCTTTTTCTAAGTAAGGGATGTATTTCAAAACTTTTGAACTGACATGGGCCTCATACAAGAGAAAAAGGGGAGGGGGAAATGTCAGTAAATCACAATTATTTATTCATATATAATTATAAATTAGCATAGGTATACTTAATTTAGCTTCTGGAACTGATGTAAACGGAATATATCAGAAATATTTGGTTAAATATTAGTCACTGCTAGCTTTAAATTAGTTTTGATGTGTCTGTTAGTTGTTTTTTGTTTTAATTTTTATTAAATTCATTGTGGAAAAACTATTCACATATATAAGTTGTAGAAAATAACATTTGAATTTTTGCTGCATACTTCCTTAAGCTGGGAAATTGATATATTTATTCATATTTTATGCAAGCTGCAAAAAATATTACTGCGGGCTGCAGGTTGCCCATCCATGGTCTAAGAGATGGAACTATGAATTGATCTTGTTTCCTTCAAGGACATCACATGGCTGCATAGTTTGTATAGAATTCAGATATAAGACTATTAATATAATTTGTGTTTGCAACTAAAATCACTTAAGTACATTGTTAAATAGGATTTATCATCCAATTAAATAAGTAGTTTTAATAAATGCCACAAAAATCAAGCATTGCCATTAACAACAATTTATGAAGTGGCTGTCATATTTTCTAGTAATTTCTATTTATTAATACAATTAAAACATAAAATTTCATTTAAACTTTAGGTTAATGTAAATTCACAACTAATTTGTAATGCACAGTATCATTAATTTCACACAGAACCTTTCCTTAAAAGAGTTCTTCTAAAATACTGTACAAATTTGATCAACTTACCTTATTCTCAACTGTAATATTTCACCAGTTAATTGATATATCAAATAGATCTAATTTAAAAATAAAAATCTTATGGAAGAATTATTGCAAAAGAGCACATTAATTTAATCCTCTAACAGATGGTGCAGTTGGACAGTTTTCTCATTTAAATATTGTTTTAAAATGTTTAATTTTTAAGTGGTAATAACTGGTATAGAGTCTTATTGATGTAGTTACCCTACCATTATAAAACCACTGTAAATAAATTTAAATATTCTAATTTAGTTTCTTTTCGCAAACATAAAAATTATGATACTGTGCTTGGAAATAGTATAATGTGATATCATTAATTCCAGTATCACATTATTTTTGATTGTCTGCAGTAAAACTAATTATATATAAGTAATTTTTGTGTATAATTTCGAAATTAGTCATTTTTATCCTTTAAAGATGCAGTACAGTTTATTCAACTACTAATTTTATATTAGCTTAAGGGGAATTCAGATTGTTTAATTTCAAAATTTTGCATCTAGATTTATTAGATTATATTAAATAATTATCAAACACACTGATAAGGAAATATAAATTACAAAATGAATTTGAGTCAAATATATTATATGTATTTTGAAATAACAGTATTTTATATATTAATACACGCAGTTTCTTAAGCAAATCTTTAAAAAGAACAAGTGTATATCATAATTTCTATTGACAATAAATATTGCTGAAAATATCTGTTAGAAGTATTGACAGACAAATTTTTTTTTATAAATATATTAAATATAAAAAAACATTAAATCTTGTTATGTATACAATATATCCTCACTTTTATCATCAAATTGATTTTTAGAAAGACCCTGGTGAAGTTATTTAATTTTCCATAAACTCTGTCATAAATTGAAATTATGACATTTTTAACTATAAAATATACTAGTGTTTTTATTTTTGGTCCTCTCTATTTCTTATAGCTGTAATGGAAAATTTGTACCAGTTATAAAAATGGAAGGCTGTAAAATGATTAAGTAGAAGTCTACTATAATTCATCATCTAAAATACACTCACTGACATCCAGATTACATACTGATGCATCCAGATTACATACCTGTTTGCCAAGTTTTGTAGTAAGCAATTAGTGTAATCCAGTTGCATGCCAGATAATGACAAAATTAATAGCTTACTATCCTATGGAAAAGGCTCACAGAGGCTTAGTGTTCAAAATTTTCAGTACACCCGTTTAGAGATATTCAAATGACAAGCATGCCTGTACAACACCAAAACATTACACACAATGAAGTTTGAGAAAGGGCTAAGGAAAGCAGGATGGCTGTTTCATCCAGGCAATTTGACCTGACAGATGTTGGGACTGTGGATATGTCAGGGCACATATATATGATAGGTAAGCTCTGGACATGCCTACAGACCTGGACATCCTACTATCTCCTGGTGGTCACCAGGAGATATAATCATTGATTGCAAAACAAGCACAAACTGTAGCTGCAGAATCTTTGTCCGTAATCTCAACATAGGTAGAAGCCTTGCAACAGAACCCTCTCTTTTCCATATCATTAGCAGAGGAAAATTTACATGCACATGATCTCTACACATCCTGCCACTGGCAGCAACTTCATTGCAGTGGTATCGCAATAAAAAAGCACAGACTGCTATGAACTGACAGCATATCACCTTTAGTGACAAATTCCAATTCCATTTGGGAACAGACAATTACTGTGTTAGTTTGTGAAGTCTACCAATTGGCATTTCACCTGTCTTAATTGTTGAGGATCACACTATCTCCACTGCTGGGCATGCTAGTCTGGGAAGCCCTCTTGTATGACAGTAGGTCATTCTTAATAGTGATATAAGGAGGCACTGGCAGCATAGTAGTACAGTCAGGCAATAAAATGAGCATAGGATTTCCTTTCTTGACATGCCTACAAATGGCCATTTTTCATCAAGATAATGCTCAGCCACACACAGCTAAGGTTTCCCAGGAATGACTGACATGTTTCACACTTCCTTGGCCTGCCTGTCTCCAGATTTGTTACTAGCTTCAGCCATCTACAAATACAAAGGATCTAGAGTGGTAGTTTCAACAACTGCAAAAATTCTGTTGCAGGATAGCATATGGTACCTGTATGCCTCCATTCCTGGCCATATCATCATATGTATCCTGGCAAGAGGAGATACTTCAAGGTACTACAGATTCTTTTAAATTGTACTGTTATTCTGCAGGAAATTGTCCCTTTGCTACAATATTATAATCACTTATCATCATCATTACATTTGCATGCACTAATAAAGTTTCACTCCATTCCAACACCTTTTTTGTTTTGTAACTTTCTTGTCAATGAGTATATTTATTAATTTTGAAATTACCTTCTAAAATGAATGCATATGTAATTGAAAGTATAACAAAAATTAAAATCTATTTAAAAAACTTAGATTTTTTGATATTGCTGCACAAGGATTGAATAAATTATGTCATCAATGATACCATATTGTAATTTGATACTGATTGTAAGAGAAACATATTAACTTGTAAATCTTCTCTGCATTATTTTAAATCAAATAATCTTTTCAAAAGAGAAAATTAAATTACAGAGCAACATTAAAGAGATTTCAAGAAATCAAATATTGTTCAGAATGAAATGTTTTCAAGGTTCACCCTATCATCAGTGTTTTTCATATTCTAAAAATATAAAATTTTGTTACAGAAAAAGTGGAATTTTGTATTCCTTAGGCTCAAAGTTCTGTTGAGTATGAGAGGAAGATAAGTCCCAAAATGTTTTAGTTTCAAGGTGATGACGATGAGCTAAAATTCAATATGAAGTCATTTTGTACCATTGAAGATAATTGACAGTTTTAATTTTAGAAAAATACTTTAATGAAACAAACAAATTTTATTATAAATTTTATTTGTAAAAGATATAGACATAATCTTATCATCAGATCATATTTATCTTTGTAAAATTCTAAAATGTTTGAATGGAAATAGTTTCTTGAAAAATTTAGTTTCTAATTTTATATTCACAGCATTTATACTAATTATCCAAAATCAAATCAAGTAGAAAACTATTTCCATGCAAAAAATTTAAACTTAAAAAAATTAATTGTGACACTATGATTCCATGTTGATATAACCATAATGATCACATGAACACATGCATGCAAACTTCAAAATGATTTTAGTTTAGCATGTCTATTACCTAATTACAGCTTGATATAAGAAATTTTTATAATATAGTCTTTGTTTTTAGTTTGCAATTACCCTGCAATAAAAATTGTATTATGAAAAACAAAACATTCCCATAGAAATTTATATATAAAAAATCATCTTTGAGAATGTAATATAAAATAGTTTTGCAGTCGTAAGAGATAAATTGAGAATCAATGATAGTAAAAGTATACGAAGTAACATATGCAAACACGTATAAAAAAAGCACCCTTTTTACCTATGACTATTAAAATGATTTGTGTTTTAGAGATGCCTTTAAAATTTCCAAGCCTTACAGATAATGCAATGTGCCGACGATTTAGCAATAATACCGACTACAGAAAGTGTACGAGATTCGTGGTCACATTTCACATAGTCACTATTTCACAGGACTACAGTGCAACGAAAATCAAGGTAATTTTAACGATTTTGCAAATAGGGATGCCATCGCTTGCGTCGTGTCTCCGTTAAAGTTCCTCAATTCTTCTACGACCTGTTGTCGAGGAAAGCCGAGATTCACCAAACTTTGCACGTCATTATCCGTGAAGTTATCGGCCGGCTGGGACCCAGGACAGGAAGAGCTAGTGGCTTTGTGCTCGAGAGAAATCCTTTGCGATTTTACGGTCGAAGGTGAAGGTGAAGCTAATAAAATTAAAAACAAAAAAACATAAAAAGCTAACTACATAAATTGTTAAAAATTATAATAAAAAAAAATTCTACATATAATTACATAGAATACACATTAAAAATTTACAGTTAGTAATATCTAATAAGGGATAAGAATTTGTTATTTTTCAAAACAGAAGAATTTAATTGAAAAACAAAAATAATTATAATAATAAATATTTTAGATTTACACAATATAATTAATGAAAATAAATAAGAAATATAATTGAAAAGAAACTATTTTATGAAAAAATGGAATAAAATTATATCAGTTGCATAAATTTTAAACCTTTTCATAGATTTCTTATACTGTACATTATTTATAAAATAAATATTAAGAAATATCATATTTCTTATATTGTAATCTTTGCAATTTATAAGTTAAATTAACTTGGTGATTATATGCAACTTTAGATTAATAAGATTAATGATTGAAATCAATAAGTTACTATAAATTTATAAACAACCCGTCTATTTAAAAAATGATAGCCAGATGCAATACTTGCTTAATATGAATATAAAGAAATTTAATACAAATTAAGTAATATGATTGACAACTTTGTCATATTTTAATGTATTAATACATATTAATGCTTTTATTATTACATTGGTCTTTATAGTGCTTTATATTTACAAATTTTGCAAAAAAATTATATGTAATTACTATTGCATAATAAAACCATTCTTTTAGCAGATAGAAAACATTCATAGTGGATTGTATGCAAAACAATAGTTATTTTTGAAGAACTGATGTAAGAAAGCACAAGAACATTCAGTACTTCATCTAGCATGTAAGGAAGCATTTCTGTAAGCAATATTAAACAATATTACATGTATTGCATCTAGTAAAAAATATCAATAAAATTATTAAAATAATGATTGTATATATATAATGCCTCAGAGAAAACATTTTAAAAAAATTCTTGAAGTTGATTATATAAAAATCTAATCAGTCAAATTCTTATTCTGTACAGAGACTTATCTCATACAAAAGAAAAGCAGCTTAAAATAATAGTTACTTTTCTGTTTTTTAACTATAGTTCACTGAAAGATTTTTTTCTTTAATCTGTTTTAGTAATTTTATCAATATTTCATTTTCTGTAACAGATAAAATACATGTCGCACTGTTTAATAATAATTATAGAAATCATATTTACACACACAAAGCTTAAATAAATTAAAATACATGATTTTATCATTATTATATATTTTACATATTAGAAAATTAAAGCTTTCAAACTGTAACAGAATGTTAAGTAAAAAGAGTTCATTGGCATGTGAATCATTCAGTTAACACTGAAAAAAAGTGAAATTTCAGTGATCTTTATCTATATGATCAGTGATAAATATCACAAAAATGATATGAAAAGTGCATATTTAAATTCTATTTGAAATCTACAAATTTATTTATAATGTTTAAAATTACTATCTTGATTATTTGTGTTTATGTGTATCAACTTGTTTATTACAATATTTTCTGAAAGCAAAAAAAATTTATTTCTTCAAGAAAAGTATGTACAGAAATTACAAAATAAAATATCACAGCATAATATACTGAGAGCAAAATAAATACATAAAGGATTTGATGGTGGGAAAGTGTAATGCTTGTGAATAATTATTTTCTTTTAGTAAATTTCATTTTCTTTGATTTTCCAGATTTTTCTGCACCAAAAAGAAATAGTTCTTCAATAACGATCAAGTTTTAAGAATGTCGTAATATTTACGAGACGTTACAATTACCATTTTGCACGTTGCCGTCTTCGGCAGACCTAGCCAGTGCCTCAGCTAACTGTCTGTCTTCTTGCTCTTGTAGAGAATTTGCTGGTACATTTAGAATTTGAGGAATTTGTAACCGTGCACATTCTGGTAGCTCATTTTCCGAGAGAAATGGTGTCTCTGTTCCAGTAGTGCCAATTACCAATTTATTCTTTTTTAGATCAATGGAACACTAGATAAAAAGAATTTTTTTAAATTAAATAAATGCTAAAGTATTATAAATACATTATTAACTTATATAGTGTATATTTAAAATATTTACAATGTATGACAAATTTCTCAAAAAGTGGAGGGTTTTTTGTTATATAATAAAAATTTTATAATAATAAAAGGTATTTTCAGAAAATTTGTACAGAAGGATGACCAGACAAATCTTTATTTTAAAGAATTTTAAATGATTATTATTCATTTAAATTAATATTAAGCTTAATATTGATTAGTTTAGATTACAAAATTTTTGTGTCTTTTTCAATTTTAGAAAGCTGAATTAACCTAAAAACAACCAAATGGCCATAGTGATAAAGTCTGGCACCTTTATTACTAATGGCAAGTTGGTCCCACTTTAGGGATCTGGAATAAGTCCAGATCAGAACCCCCAGGAATTTTCAGGAATGGTGCCACCTTAATAAATTGAACCATCCAGCATCTGTTTGAATCCATGACAAATGTGTAAACAAAGTCGGCTTACAATTGCAAAGTGCTTAAAAATAAAAATTAATCTTAAGAAAAGCAGGTGTATCAATATTGAGAGCTTCAATGATGCTGAAAATAATTAATACTATATTACAGAAGTGGGCAAGTAGATAATGCTTCTAGATCAGCATTTAAGGAGTCAAATATGGATAACAGCAGAATGTTATAATGTGGTAACACAGTCAGATGCCAATGCAGTTAAGCATCCTACTTCTCTGAGGATCAAAAATCAAATCTCGGTGAGTCAAAAATCCCCAGAAAATTTTAAGGATGGGTCTGACATAATCAGGGTACAGGGTCTACCCTAATATGTCACACCCTGTCAGTCAGCCATCCTATTGTAGGTTTGAAAAAAGTCCTATTAGTGTCTGCAGGGTTGAAAGAATAAAAAAAATCTAGCAATAAGTTGCTTAACCTTTCTGGCAACATTTAAAACTGTATGCGTTGTGCCATCTGTTATATTTTACTATTAAAAACATATTTTTAACTATTATAAAATGGCAAAAAGCTTAATTTTGAGAGTAGGATGGGTTTTATATAAAACTGTAAATGCTAATAACAAGTAAAATCATCATTAAGTTTAACCCTATTTCAGATATGACAAATGGCCCCTTTTTTTTTTCTCCTCACTGCCTCGACTTTTAACCACTAAAAGTTAATAGCATCAATCCCCAATACACAAACCTCCATGCAAAATTTCAGAAAATTTTCAACAAAAAGCACAGGAGTTATTAAGCTTCAAAACAGATGAATAAAATCATGGCAATGCTACATCTTGGTTGTCAGTCAGATTAACATTATTTACTATACAGAATGTTGACACATGATTATTCCTTATAAAATAATAGTTTTATCATTTTTGAAAGGCTATAATGATGCTATTGAGACTTTCAGAATCTCTGAATAGCCAGATGTATGACAAACCAGACTGCTGATATTCAAGAGCTTTCGCATGGCTTATGAAAGTCTTTGGCACATTATGGCCATCACTATTACAGTTAATAATAATTTTGTGTGTATCTGTATATATAATATAGTTAAATGATAAATCAAAAAATAAAATCTGTAAAACAATCTTACTGACAACAAAATGAAAGAACATTTCGATATTTATATTTAATGAAAAAATACTTAATGAATAAAATTTAAAAATACAGTTGAACCTGTCTATATCAAAATTTATTTTTTCCCTGCATTTTCAGCCTAAATTCAATATATTTTCCATGTTTATCTTAAATAATTTTCTTCCAAAATATCTGTATCTCAAATTATGGATTGAAGTGTCAATTACAAAATTCAAAGCTCGGCAACTACATTTTGAAAGCATAAATTGTTTTGTATTGTAAGAGATCTACAATACAATACATAGTTGCAATTTTCTACAATTGGTTAAAGGTTTGGTTCGTATCTTATTGGTTGAAGAAAGTCAAACATTTGACATCAGTCAGGCATCAAACTATTGACAAACTATTTCTGTTTAGATATATCAAAAATGTTTTACTTACTTATACCTAATATAGATATGTACTGTACTTGCTGTTGTATTAATAAAATACCATACCTCCAATCAAATCTATTACTGTTTACTGTGTAGGAACCCCTATATCTTGAAATCTGTCTGTCTATCTCAAAATGTTTTTTCCTCATTCCCAAGAAATTTGAGATAAATATATGTACACTGTTGAACTTGTCTAATAATTTATATTACTATTCATCATAAAATGAATTACCATATTTATGCATATGTAGACGGCATGTGTGTAATCCATACCCTAATTTTCAGAAAAGAAAAAAAAATTTGAAAAATTATTCAAGCCTCCATTTATTACATTGGTTGCAACAAGGCAAAATTGAAATACAGTCAACTTGCCTTAAAACAAATGCTGATAAACTGATTTCTCACATTAAAATGAATTTTGTCGTTGCCTTGGCAAGACACTATTGTCACAACATTAATTTTCATGTGATAAAGTGAACAAAAATTTCACCAGAATTTATTAAACAGAACTGTAAATTACCTTCACCAACCCCAAGAAATAACCCTATTCCAATTATGGTTGCTTGTTTATACTCTACTACTATTTCAAAATGATTAATAAAACATTTGTTCCAGTGATACTGTACCAAATGTTCCATTTTAAATAGAAGGAAATCTATTCTACTTAAAATGAAACATTTAGTACAATTAAGGAGTAAGGAGAAATATTACTAGAGGGAATTTTGGTATGAATTAAAGGAAACAGCTGGATATCATAACTCTTCCAAGACCGGTTATGGTCAGTTTGGTTTTAGCCAGGGCTGTGGAGTCGGAGTCGTAAAAAATCTGCCAACTCTGGATATGTGTGGGAGCATGATTTAGTACAACCAGTTAAGTTTAGTACAAACTTAATAACTCCTGAGTTAAACCATCCAACTCCAATTCAAAAACCACAGAAATTATTAAGCTTCAAACAGATGAACAAAATCATGCCCCACACATTCATTCTAACATCCATACATACAGGAAAAAAATCCCAAATCTTTTGCATATCTCAACATTTCAAGGTGTCCTGAGCCCAAAAATGTAAAAATTTTGGGTTTTTTTTTTGACCGATTGTTATATATAACAGGGAAAGTGTAGCAGTCAGGAAAGTAAAAATTATCAAATACATATTTATATATTGACTATGTCATTACTTAAAGGAATCTTTTAGCTTTGGAATAAAAAAGTTTCTACATTCTATCTTCATTAGAACTCTATTTATTGAAGCTTTTATTCTGAAGTCATGTGATAACATCAGAATTTCCAGGCCTATTTTGATAACAAGTCCATCCCTGGTCAGATTCAGTTGGTAGATTTTTAAACAACTCCACAGCCCTGATTTTAGCAAACTCAGGAACACTTTTACATAAATGTTCTATATTGATAATTGAAATTTCCAAGAGAATTTCAAGAACTGAAAAAGAAAGTGTGACATTGTGGTAATACAAGGAAAAACAACTGGTTTATTGCAATCTTTTAATGTGCTTTAAAAAAACAACTATTCTTAAAAATGTGTTTTAAAAGAACAGTTGTTCTTTTAAAACACATTTGAAATGGCCATATCACAAATGAAGGTGCAATTCTTCAGAAACAACACCTACCAGATAGGTGCCTGAAGAAAACATTATTGTGTCAAATGTGAAAGTGGATTGTGTCTTCATAGGTGTCAAAACATTTTGAAATAACATTAATATCTAAATGTGATGGATAGAAATGAAGATAATGCCATGCAGTGCAAATTATCTTCAAGCAATGACTACATTATCATCATCAAGGAATTTAATGACAATTACCAATAATTACTCATTACCAAAGGAACAGTTGTACTTCTTACACTTATATAACAACAAATTATTTTAAAATTATAACAATTTATTTATTTTGAGTATAGACAGCATGCCAATATTTGGTTAATATTTTCAAGGGGGACAAACATATATAATAATGCAAAAATATTTAATATGAATTAGCTCTCTTTTCATCATAGAGTTCATATAAAAAAAGGATCAAAAGAAAAGAGATCTCTTAAATTTATTATTATATTTTTGATTTGTTCACTCATATTTAATTGCAGGTTTTTATTTAAAATTTTGAATCTATTATTTCAATTAAAGTTATCATAACTGTATGTATATTACAGTAATCTTGTAGTTGTGCTCAACCACAAGATTACAGTATACTCCTATAACGCGGGTTCCTATAATAGAGATTCCTATAACATGGCGAAAAAATTGCGACAGTATTCGTATAAAGATGCTAAAAGGGACTCATAAAATGTCATCGCCGACTTGTGCCGCGACAGGATCGGTCGAATCTGGACCAATAGTAGACAAGCAGCCGAACTACTTACACGCTACAGAGAGTTTAGGCGAGTAAGTTGAGTTTACTATCGTCTGTATAGTATGTAAATTACGTACTGTAAGTCTAATACAGTACTGTAATTTTATACATTTCTTGTGAAAGAAACATTTCTTATTCAACAGCCATAAAAATTATTTATATTAATGTCTCCAAAGGTCAACGAATTTTTCGCAGAAAAATAACTTATCAGAAATCACGGCCGCCGTTTGGTGCGCTGCTCTGCAATGAAAACAAGCTTAAGCAATGGCGACGTCGAACGGTGCACACTTGGTAAGTAATCCTACAATTTTTTGTTTATAGCATAGTTTATACGGATTATTCCCAAAAAATTNAATTACTATCTTGATTATTTGTGTTTATGTATCAACTTGTTTATTACAATATTTTCTGAAAGCAAAAAAAATTTATTTCTTCAAGAAAAGTATGTACAGAAATTACAAAATAAAATATCACAGCATAATATACTGAGAGCAAAATAAATACATAAAGGATTTGATGGTGGGAAAGTGTAATGCTTGTGAATAATTATTTTCTTTTAGTAAATTTCATTTTCTTTGATTTTCCAGATTTTTCTGCACCAAAAAGAAATAGTTCTTCAATAACGATCAAGTTTTAAGAATGTCGTAATATTTACGAGACGTTACAATTACCATTTTGCACGTTGCCGTCTTCGGCAGACCTAGCCAGTGCCTCAGCTAACTGTCTGTCTTCTTGCTCTTGTAGAGAATTTGCTGGTACATTTAGAATTTGAGGAATTTGTAACCGTGCACATTCTGGTAGCTCATTTTCCGAGAGAAATGGTGTCTCTGTTCCAGTAGTGCCAATTACCAATTTATTCTTTTTTAGATCAATGGAACACTAGATAAAAAGAATTTTTTTAAATTAAATAAATGCTAAAGTATTATAAATACATTATTAACTTATATAGTGTATATTTAAAATATTTACAATGTATGACAAATTTCTCAAAAAGTGGAGGGTTTTTTGTTATATAATAAAAATTTTATAATAATAAAAGGTATTTTCAGAAAATTTGTACAGAAGGATGACCAGACAAATCTTTATTTTAAAGAATTTTAAATGATTATTATTCATTTAAATTAATATTAAGCTTAATATTGATTAGTTTAGATTACAAAATTTTTGTGTCTTTTTCAATTTTAGAAAGCTGAATTAACCTAAAAACAACCAAATGGCCATAGTGATAAAGTCTGGCACCTTTATTACTAATGGCAAGTTGGTCCCACTTTAGGGATCTGGAATAAGTCCAGATCAGAACCCCCAGGAATTTTCAGGAATGGTGCCACCTTAATAAATTGAACCATCCAGCATCTGTTTGAATCCATGACAAATGTGTAAACAAAGTCGGCTTACAATTGCAAAGTGCTTAAAAATAAAAATTAATCTTAAGAAAAGCAGGTGTATCAATATTGAGAGCTTCAATGATGCTGAAAATAATTAATACTATATTACAGAAGTGGGCAAGTAGATAATGCTTCTAGATCAGCATTTAAGGAGTCAAATATGGATAACAGCAGAATGTTATAATGTGGTAACACAGTCAGATGCCAATGCAGTTAAGCATCCTACTTCTCTGAGGATCAAAAATCAAATCTCGGTGAGTCAAAAATCCCCAGAAAATTTTAAGGATGGGTCTGACATAATCAGGGTACAGGGTCTACCCTAATATGTCACACCCTGTCAGTCAGCCATCCTATTGTAGGTTTGAAAAAAGTCCTATTAGTGTCTGCAGGGTTGAAAGAATAAAAAAAATCTAGCAATAAGTTGCTTAACCTTTCTGGCAACATTTAAAACTGTATGCGTTGTGCCATCTGTTATATTTTACTATTAAAAACATATTTGGTGATTATATGCAACTTTAGATTAATAAGATTAATGATTGAAATCAATAAGTTACTATAAATTTATAAACAACCCGTCTATTTAAAAAATGATAGCCAGATGCAATACTTGCTTAATATGAATATAAAGAAATTTAATACAAATTAAGTAATATGATTGACAACTTTGTCATATTTTAATGTATTAATACATATTAATGCTTTTATTA